AATGAAGATATCGTGGGAACTCTGGGGGAAACTTTGTTTCAGACGGAACAAAACGTGGTAGGTTGCAGAACGTATACTTGGCCGCGGTGGTCGGGGATGGCACAAAAATAGATTTTGGTGGACAGTTAAAGCTTCCTAAATCGTCCCTGTCCAAATTTATCCACCTTATCAGAAGTTGGCGAACAAAGTAAATATCTAGAGGGAAGACTCGTTTACTTCGCATCCGGGCTATCTGGAGGTGTAGGAAATGGGGTTTAATATTTTAAATTCAAACTTGCTCACCGAAACACATTTCCGGCACTTCATGATAATGTTGATTGCCTGCAAGAGCTGAGCTCCGGCTCCTCGTATAAATGTGAATTGCTCCATTTCGTAGCTAACTGTTTTGTTGTTGACGCAGTTAAACTTTTCTAATTGCGCTCTTCGTCTTCCGGCAGGCAACTAACAGCGCATATTCAGAAACACTTCTTACAATTAATCTTTATTTACATTTTATCAATTATCTACCGAATGTACATAAGCTCTTTTAATTAGGAACTCGATGTAACAAAATATAACCTTTACTTACGACAGTATTTCGTAAATATGTTCATATAGATCCCTAAATGTACCCATGAATGAAATTGACTCTCAAATATTTACTATAGGTATTGTAAAGGAAAATTGAGAACCGGACATAATCATATTCTATACTGTTTTATCATCTGCAAATTTACGCATACTAATATTTTACCCCTTTATATTTATCCCTACAGTAGTCCTGTCTTTAATGATGTTTACTGCGTCTTCGATGCATAGATTAAAAATAATTGTGTGGTTTTATGAAACCACGGTGTTTCGTGAAACTTTTCGGATTGTAGACATTTAACTGTAAATTTTCGGAAGATAATTCGATTTAGGGTATTAAAATTAAAATCGCTTTCTAAATCTTATCTTAATGATTGGAAAATGGGAATCACAATGGGACATCAATAGTAGACAAGATGTCCAACTATAAATTTTAATTTCAATCTGCGTATGAGAGTACGGAATACAGAATAAATGCAATCATTCAGATGATAGACGCATGATAAGAACTGAGAACAATATTTATTTAAATCATTAAATCATTTTGAATTTTAGTTATTCTATCAATAATTTCATCGTCGCTTTGAGTTTCACAGTTCATAAATGTAAATGTCATGCACTTGCACGAATGAGTGAGAATATAAATGCTACACGGTTAGCTCTTAGCTCATGCGAGCCATGGACGCCGCTATATTATCGTTGGCTGCTCTGCCGAGTGCCTTTCATTTTTACCCTTACTCGATACTGCAATAGATGGACGAAAAAATTTGAGACGATGTAATAAAAGTTTCACTTTAAGAAGTAGCGGTGGCAGTGTGCATCCTTGCTTGATTTCCTTCTTAATACAGTAGGTAGGAGTTAGAGAAAGCCTTAGAGCGGACAGAGAAGGTTAGAAATGAGGAGGTATCTATTAGAAAGACTAGGAGAACAGAGACAACTATAGAAGTCAATAAAAAAAAGGGAGATGGTTTGTAGGACACCTTTTCAGGCATGAAAGGCTATTTAGAGACATATTAGAAGCGGAAACAGGAGTTAAGAGGAGTAGAGCTACACCTAGATTAGATTACTGTTCACAAATAGTTAAGGATGTGGGATGTTCTAGTTTTAGGGAAATGCGAAGATTAGCTCAGGATTAATTAGTTTGGCTGCAACATATACATAATAATAATACAAAAATTTTGAAATAAACTTTTCTATCTATTGTAATGTTCGTGGGTTTAGCAAAATTAACTTTTAATGCTGATAATGACATAAACTATTTAGTTACACTAATTATTGAAGAACTTAGAAACACTATTAAATTATTACTAAACTTAGGTTATGACATATTCTATTTATTTACACTACTGTTGATATATGACTATTCACTGCGCTTTATTTCACTGCTATCACTATCAATTTATTTCTTTTTCTCTCGGCGATTGTTTCTTCCTTTAAATACTCTTTTGTTTACTTTCGGTAACCTTCTCGAAACATCCGGATAGTTTCTTTTTTCTTTGAACTGTTTAACTGCTTTCCCAGAACGCAGGTACGACACACACATTTACAAATACGGTGCACATGAAGAAAGGCGCCCGCGGCTGGTTGGCGAATCGATAAGCCGTTCACGCACACGTGTGCCCGATCGCATCCAAACACACTCGTGCTCGCTACGTTATATTATTTACCATTCTGCTTAAATGTGAAATAAATTACGAGTTCATAGATGCGTGCAGCGGTTTAGTAATCAGAAGAAACCTATTAGTAATACAATTACGTCTTGTCTAGCGTATAGTAGCAGGCACATAATCCACGAAATTCGTCTTTCGCAAAGTTAAATGGATTTTTCAATAATACTCCAATGTCACTTAATGCGAGTTATATTTAAATTTCGCCATTAAATTAAGACTCAATTTATATGCTAAATCTTTTAGACTCGTGACTCTTGAGAAAAGAAAAGATGATTCTTCTTCGCCTTATGGAAGAGCTTTTTTAAATGCGCTCTTTCATATGATATATTTCAACGTCAAGCAATTTCCTTTGTAATCGCATATCTAATCGCAAGTACAGTATAAGAAGGAACAGTAAAAATCGTAAAATTTTAATTTGTGAATTAGTTGAAGACCCATAGAAAGACAAGTATCTATTTAGATTTCACCATAATTATTTTGTTACGCGGTGGAAGAAGTTTATAAATTAAGAGAAAAAGAGAAGTTAAATCTTTTCTATCTGTAGAGGCCAGAGTTTGGCTAAAACTATACCTAATGCTGCGTTCAGACATGTCCGCTTTTTACCTACCGGCACGGTTCCGATACAGAGCCGGCGCTGCGTCGGAAGTATTTTACATACGCGCTAGCAAGTGCATTACTGGTTGCCAGTTAGAACTTGGTTGCTACAGAAGTAAGATGTAGTCAGTAATAAACAAAAAGTATCTATTTAGAATATTGTAGCTTCTCTCTCTCTAGATATTCACTTCCTACATAAATAGATAAACATTTCGTTGTATGACTTTTATTTTCTCAATTTATCTTTAAAAGAATCAGTGGTATTGTCCCATAAACAGGATAGATCATAGTGACATTTAGTACATATTTTGAGCGCACCCACTAACCCCCCTCGTTCTAATATATGATACCTTCTAATATCTAATTCTACTATGTAGAATGACCGGAAATCGTTGAAAAAGTTTTTGGAGCGATTTTGGTCTAGAGCCCCAATTCTGGATAATTACCAATAACATGATCCTGGCAAACAGCTCTTCATTTTGTTTGAATTAGTTTTTAACAATCTTTGAATTGAGAAAAAATATTTTTATTCATTGCACATAATCGACTGATAAATATACATTAGGATTACAATTAGATCAATATTTAGTTTTATTACCGTTGGTCGCAATATATGATTCCAATGGGGAATTCATACACCCGATTAAAGACTCCAAATATTTAGGGACCAAATCGTTCCAAATGGTCTCGATTTTGGCCATCCAGTTGTCAGTCGAGCGTTCAGTCTCTTTCTCAAGAATATATTTCATCACTTTCAATTGTGTAGCGCTCATAGTTTGACGATTGTTTGCCAATTGTGTTGCGCGTCGTCTGTCGTTGACAACGAGTAGTGGAGGCCTTCCCTGTCCGGGCCTCTGTTCGACACTTTCACCCATTGTTGCCAACCTACTACAGAAAAAAATCCCACGCGCAAGTCCAAAAAATCCCATATTTTCTCTAAAAATCCCTCCAACTTATAANCATTTTGTTTGAATTAGTTTTTAACAATCTTTGAATTTGGAAAAAATATTTTTATTCATTGCACATAATCGACTGATAAATATACATTAGGATTACAATTTGATTAATATTTAGTTTTATCACAATTGGGAATTCATACTCCCGATTAAAGACTCCAAATATTTAGGGACCAAATCATTCCGAATGGTCTCGATTTTGGCCATCCAATTGTCAATCGAGCGTTCAGTCTCTTTCTCAAGGATGTCTTTCATCAATATCTAGAGATTTTCGATTGGGTTGAGGTCTGGCGAACAAGCTGGGCACTTTATGACCTTAAATTCTTTGCCATCAAACCATTCTTTGCTTTCCATCAATACTATTGATAATTGTATGGCATGTGACACAACAATCGATCGGTAATATGATTCTCAATTCAAACGTGTGCTTTGTTTGCATGGTAATCACCTAGCATCAAATTAATCAATCAAAAACTAACTGACATAATTTTATCGCTAGATCTGCTCCCAACTATATATTTGTTTGAATCTCGGTAAGTGGTCGTTTTGCGATTAAGTTAACACATCAATTTCACATCGTCATATCTGACAAAGCATAAAGACAAACTTAAATTTTCCAAAGGGTTTTTGCTTGTAACCCGGGAGGTTGAAATTATCGACTAGTAACCATGACGACGAGAGCGTTAAATACGTTTGCTTGGCAAACTTCAACAATTAGTTTAGTTAATTTCGGAGCCCGAAGCTTTCGACTCAAGTAAAACCAGGAATCTGATTTTGTTTTCATAATTTGAACACGCCGCGACGCCTTTGATATCAAAAGGGTAGTTTCCAATCGATTAAGTTGTTCTTAAAGAAGCCTTTGATCGTAGCCGAACCCACTTTTCTAACCAACCGATCTCAAAATAGCAACTACAGTGTTATTTCCTCTCGAATAAACAAATCCATTTATTACGTTGACTGTCCATTCTGATAAACAGTCAACGTGAGATAAAGAAGACAATTTTTATGAAATATCTGTACTTTATGCAAAAATTCTATGAAATTATAAAACATTATTACTAGGATAGTTAGAGGTGTATTTTTGGAGCGCGGAGCTGTACGGGTGCGAAACATGGACAGTGGGCGACATATAAATGTTCGCTGCAATTCTTACCTGACATCTCTTTTCTATGTTTACAATATTTCCTATAACGTCTGTCTTTTTTTATTGCAGATTATGGAAATTTTGAACGTTCTAACTATAGGACACCTTCTCAGGTATGAAGGGCTAGTTTCAGATATATTAAAAGCAGAAATAGGAGTTAAGAGGAGTAGGAGTAGACCTAGATTAGATTACTGTTCACAAATAGTTATAGGATATGGGATGTTCTAGTTTTAAGGAAATACGAAGATTATCTCAGGATAGGAGATGCGTGTCCAACCAGTCTAGAGACTGACTACCTTGTGATGATGATGATGTAAAGTTATATGCAAACTTACCTATCCTACTAATATTTGAAACATTTTCGTTTATTTGGAAGATAAGAATAAAAATCATTTATTTACAAAAATTCTAATCTGCTCGTTATAGGTGGTTTAGAATGACATGGTCCTTCAGATGCATGAGACACGTACCTTATCGCAGTCATACTGTACATTACGAGAACTTTGACTCGGTTGTTAGCCATGTGGTTCGTTACACAACCAGGGCCGAAGCTCTAGATAAACTTTATGAAATAGAAATCAATGTATGGGCGTAGCTTGTCACTGCGCAATCCAAGGCCAAGGTTAATGTCATCCGAAACTACCTCTAAAAACAAGGTTTTTATATTTGCCAATTCTTTCTCTTTACGAGGTAATGTAATATCTCTCATCTATATAAAGAAAGAAAAGCTAGCATACGTTCACCCTAGAAAATGTTTTTTTTTTATGATTAGAGGCATTCAAACACCTGAAAAAAATCAAAATAGTAGTTCGCTTGTTCCCTTATCTGAAAATATAACCTTCATAAAAATTCTTTCTCTGAAACTTGATTACCCTTTCAAATTTTTAATTTAGTTTTGTCTATCAGAGATTCAAACATATATACATATGTCGTGCTCTAGGGTAGGTGCTCCGTTTTTTGCAATTATTCATAAAAGCAAAACAACATCTAAAATATTCAGATCGTCTCCTTTCTGATAGACAATCATTAAGTAACTCAAAGCAGTAAAACGAACACTTGTAGCAGTAAACTTTAGTTGTTCGTTGACACAATGAAAGTTTAATCCTTTGTCACTGTTCGAAATTAAAATGTTTGAAAGAATGGTGTCAGTATGTAAATGTAGAACTTCTGATAAAACGATAAGCGGTCCAAAACCAGGAGAAGAATAGAAAGGAAAAGCAAATTATACTCTGCCAAATAGGCTTAAGGACGTGTCTTGAATAAATCATATGTAAAGTTATTGGTAGGACAAGCATTTCCATAAACTGTAATTTATTTCCAGCACAGTGACATTGTTCCTTATGTGATTTATTTTCAGCTGGAGGCAATTTTATGAAATGCCTCCGACACATCGTTATCGCCGTATTTTTTCTCAGCTAGGATAATCGCATATACATTGTTAGTACCAAAGTACAGAACATGTTCGTAAAGAAATCAGACAAATTTATTCAGTAAGAGTCTCGAACACGAACATTTCTTCTTACTTTTAGTAATGAGCAAAACTGATCTTGGTTTTGCTAAAACGTCAACTTATGCATTGGAATTAGGGCAAGTTTCCGAGTTTTTATAACTCCCACAACTATCAACAGTTTAAAAGTCGTTACAAGCTCGCATGTCATCATCATCATGATCATAAGTTTGTCAGTCCTAAGACTGGTTGGACACGCACCTCCACTCCTTCCTATCTAATCTTAGCATTTTTCTAATACTAGAACATCCCACATCTTTAACTATTTGTGAACATTGATCTAATCTAGGTTTTTCTCTACTCTTCTTAACTCGTATTTCTGCCACTAATATGTGGCTATATATTGACTAAAACTTCATGCCTGAAAAGGTGTCCTACCAATCTATTTTTTATTGATTTCCTTGTTTCGCTGGTAATACCACATTTCGAACGCTTCTAACCTTTTCTTTTTCGCTGCGCCCACCATCCATGTTTCGCACCCGTACAGCGCCGTGCTCCAAACATAAACCTTTAACAATCTTGCTCGCATGTATGACAGAATATATCAGCATTTAAGACAATTGTTTTGTCGGTAAATACAATCGTTTGGGCTTAACAAAATGAGTTTTTACTAAATTAAAGCCAAACAACTATAATTTCATGATCATTATAGGCTCGTCAGTTCTAAAACTGGTTGGACACGCACCTCGACTCTTTCGGATTCTGAGCTTATCTTCGCATTTCTCTTAAGGATGTTTGGGAGGTATGTCAAATGCTACGAGACAAATAAAAATCTGGAAGAACGTTCATCATTCAATTCTAAAACTCCTGTAAAAATTACAAATCGATGAAGATTGATATGTAATTATAAGGTTATATATCAGGATGTTTGGGAGGTATGTCAAATGCTACGAGACAAATAAAAATTTGGAAGAACGTTCATCATTCAATTCTAAAACTCCTGTAAAAATTACAAATCGATTCACTAAACCGTTAAAAAGTTATTGAAATTTTAAAAAATTGTAATTTTACACGTCATTTTATGGAGATTCGTTAACCGAACAGATTAAATTTATTTTTATTAACAGAAAAAAAGCTACCAGAAATTTCAAACTTTTATAATAAGTAACTTGAACTCTGGAGAATCACTTTAGCGTAAGGTTATTCAAATTCACTAAATGGTTATCGAGGAAAAAATGAAAAATTAGCTGAAAATCTCGTTTTTACTTGATAATATAATGATAATATTTATAATTGTCTGAAATAAATGCAATTTTAAAGTTTTAATTATTATTTAAACATATTAAAAAGTTTTACGCTCATTATTAATAAAGATTGAAACTAAATATTTTTTTGTTTCGAAGTTGAAATCAAGGCATATTCACTGCCAAAAGTTACTTAAAAATTTTCTATAAGTATTATTCGTTATTTCTTATTTTATTCAAAGTTTTTAGTTAAATTCCAAATTTTCTCTCAAACCGTATACTTTTTTTTAGTGTAGATAGTATTTATTTACCTCATGATATGCTGCCGGTAATACAGAAATCTTATCAGTAATCATAATAAATCAACACCACAAAGAAAGAAGCTGAATGTTTATGGCTTAATCAATAAATAATCTCTTAAATCTCGTTAAATTAATTTGACGATGTTGTGATCAATTTCGATGCAAATAGAGTGACTGTTATAACCTCATTAATAATAATAATTCAATTTTTGTCAGCTGCACTACATAATTGATGTAGAGCATTTAGGTATCCATGTAGAACTCATTTGTCTATAGGTTGTTAGGGGTGAACTACTTGATTTATAATAATCCGTTATTCACAATAGAACAAACGGGCCAATAAATTTTAATGCAATTCTAATTTATGCACCCTATTAGCACAAAAGCGATATAAATTATTTTCTGTGTGAAAATCTGTTGCGCTAGTGAAACATAACTTTTACTAAAATTTAAAACTCTCATAGAAGAAAAAGGAATTGTTTGGTGCCGTTTGCTACTGTATTTTGTAGTTTTATTTCAAGAAAGTTCAATCGTGTGGAGTAAAATTCAAATTGGATCATATAGAGCCATAAAATTGAACATCAATTTTAAGAATCCTTTTCAGAAGTTAAAAAAAAATCGAAAGATATTTTTTTTGTAAAGATACCCCAGACAAAAATTTTCAGTCTCTCTCCGGTCTCTCAAAGTCTTTCAGCGTCTCTGAGAGCGTCTCTCACAGTCTCTCAGTTATTGCCTAGGTGTTTTTATGGATCTTTCACAGTCTCCGTATGAGAGACTCGAACGATAAAATTGTTAATTCAGAGATTCGAGTCTCTCGTTCAAAGAGTGGATACCAAAAGAGGATCTCTCTATGAGCGACTCGAATTTCTCGTTCAGAGACGCTAAACAGTTTTTTTGACAGTCTCTCGATAGTCTCTCTCAGCGACACCAGAGAGACGAAGACTCGAGTCTCACTTTCAGAGACTCTGAGAGAATATTTTTATCTCGGGAATCCTTTTGTATATTAATTTTATTGAAAATGAGAGCAAATAATGTTACTAATAAACTGGGCCGCACAAGGTAGTTCTGTGCACGACATCAAAAACTCATAACGCTCCCCTCTAAACCCCCATTTGCTCCTGAAGGTTATTTATAACAAAAATTGATAACAAGAACGTTATAAGTATGTTCGATTTACATATGTAGAATTGAATTCAATTTCGAAAAACAGGTACGGACCTAAACATTTATTTACAATTTGATTTAACGTAAGGGAACATCTTAAAATCTGGTTCTTCATAGGTTTTAACAAGGAACAATTTATTTTATATAATCTGTTTGTTTAAATTATGTTGCTATTTATATTGGACAGACACCACGTAGTACTGGTAAATGTTTAGAGGAACATATTTTTTATAATAAAAATACAACTATCCAATCAACATGCTATACAAATAGGAACAATATTGATACGAAAAATATTAAATTTTCACATTGTTGATAGAATGGAATAGTCTAAATTACCTGGAAATCTTATTAGAAATCCTTTAAGGCTATTACCAAGATAAAATCATTAATGAACAAGTTCAGTTAGTTTTTAAAGTTTTCTCTTAATTAAAACCACCTACATTGAGTCGCTATTATTATCTCATTTTGAGAAAAACTTTTAATGAAATTTTACTTCAGCAAAATTGTAAGATTTTGTGAAAATTTCCTAGGTAATATACTCTTAGTTAGGGATAATTTGAATTCATTACAATTATCTGCTAATTTTCATTAAAACATGCATATGTATGTTACTTTTGTTGAGACGGTATTTCTAATTTCTAATTAGGCACATTTTTTATTGTTATCATAATGAAGGCTATTTTAGTAAAGACGCACTATTTACTGTTTATTTAAATTGCATAAAATGACCTTATTCAAGAGTCGAAGTAGGTGCATATAATACATTGAATATTTGTATATTTTTTTAACAATTAAGGTCAGCGTGATTCCCTTGTAAATAACGCAATTTAGCTTCAGTTTAAACTAAATTGCACGTTAAGTTATACTGTATAACCTTCTGTTAAATATAAACAAAAATTAGTTTATAAGTATGGTGAACGTAAACTTTATGGTTTTAGTCTTAGTATTAGAATTATGTCTCGGCCGATAGTAATACTACTTTTTACAATTTTGATCTTCAACGTAAGTAATAATTTTTATTTTTTTTTTTAGTGTCCGATATAATAATTTATAATCCGATAATAATTAATTAAACTGGAACGAAGTTTTTTATTCGTTACTTCTCGGGTTATCGCTTATCTAATGTCTTAAGCGTTTTTAGAAGAACACGTATTTCTACTTTAAGGGTGCATTTACCGTTCAATATTTTATTGCGTTTCTCGCACCACCAACGATCTTTCGAGCTGATTTTCCATAGTTTCCAACAACAATTCGCAACTTTGCTATTATTTATGTACCTAGTTAGCGAGTTAGTTTTCAACTTTTTAAATGAGTTAAAATTTTTAATTTTCCTTACTGCGTTGTTCGATAGCAGTCTTCTGTAGGGCTGATTTTTTATTTTATTCTATTTGTTTTTAAAAATCACGGCACTGAAAGTGTACAAAACGTAGACGGTGGATCCTGTTGAAAAGAAAAAGTTAGAAGCCTTTATGAAATGGATGTTAAAAATGTCAAGAAGTTATTAGAAAGAATAGGAGAACAGAGGGCGTTATGGAAGTCAATAAGGTATTGGTTAGGTTAGGTTAACTATTGATCGTTAATTCAAAGTTTTCAGACAATTAAGCGTATGAAATACAGTGTAAACTCTTCATAACGTCACTGGATTTAACGACAAACTCCTTAAAACGTCGAAATTGCTTAACTTTGGTTGGTTTACATTGTTTTCTATACAATATTACACTCTATATAGCGTCACGCTCACTCTATTTAACGACAACAAGCTGTGTTCGTTGTTGAAGAAGACGATCCTGTCCCTTCACCAACCATCAAACAAGCACTTGATGCAGCGAAACTATTAAAAAAATACTTTTTATATAATCAAATTGATCCAGCAGTATCTCAAGATATGAGTAAGATACGTAACAAAGTACAATTAAAATATTGGAGCAGCAAAAAACATCAGACGAAGATAACGAAGGCTATACGCAATGTATGAATAATAATGTTCGTGTGCAGAATGTTTACTATATTGGTAAATGCATATTATTATAGAATAGTAAAATAATATCTTTTATTACTCTTTATAACGCCGAAAAACGTTCAGTCCCTTTAGTGTCGTTATATAGAGTTTACACTGTACATTGAATTTTATTTCAATGTATTAATGAATTAATTTTTGGGTTAATTAAAAAAGCTGTTTTTTGGCATTTGTTTAAATAATTGTGATTTAAATAACATCCGATCGGGTTACCGACTTTCGAACAACTGCGTAAATTTTTTTTTTTCGAATAATTTTTTCCACTCACCCACTCATATTGCCTGGACTATATGGCCTGACTTAACGCTGCCGCCAGTTAAAAATATCATGAAACGAAATCGCCAGCATTTTTTGCCGCGTCCGTCGCTTCGTCATCGTCATGTAAATAGAGAAACTTGAAAAGTGCGAGTTTAGTCTTTTACGAGCAACGAACTGCACATTTCGCTAATTAAGTTTTCAAATGACGGCGCCCAGTCCCAGTTAGTCTAACACATTCCCGACGATAATGTCGCACCTAATCTGCATTTTCTATTACGTTCCCTCGCATACGTCGCTGATTATTCATCCTTGTTGTTAATTCCGCGACGAAGAAGAAGACTCCTCGGGCACCCATCGTTCATAACTTATTATCATGATAAAAACAAGCAATGTCGTCGTTGTCACGTGACTGCATATATATACCTAATGTTATAGTAACTTTTACTCTTTTTTGTTTGTAATACGTGGGTACGCTTTTTTTGAGGGTAAATTCCAGATGGGAATTTTAATTAACGGAAAGCATCATGCTATTCTTACCTCAAATAAAAAGTTTTTTTGATATTCCATCAGTTAGGTATTTTTTTATATACATATACTGTTTTATATTGATAAGTTTTATGTTGTAATCCCAAGGGCAAGAATCGAAATTATTAGGGTTGCTTTTGAGATTTCAGTAGGCAATAAAATAATAGGAAATCTATAAGGAAATTTCTAAATAAATAAAACGCATTAACAGTTTAACTGTTTACTAGGTATTTATTGATTTATATCAAGAACAAGACATGATAGGTTAGGATAGAATAGAATAAAGGCTGATTCACACATATAGTGCCGGTCCTGCCTTGCTAGAGCCATGACGAACTAATAATAACATTAAAATTTATGTTTAGTAATAGGAGACAACATTTCCAAAATTATTAGTTGCAAAGATGATTTCAGTAACTATTGCTACATTGTATGCGTGAACGATAATAGTTGCAGATGTCAATTTATGTATGAACAACAATATTTGATTGTTACTATGTACTGTAATAAATAATAAAGATATGATTAATACTAAGTGGGCTCGAACGTGGAGACTGCGGCAGTAGAATAACCCTGTAGCTTTTCACACATTAACGGTTGTTCTACTGCCGTGTCGTATCCGTCGTGGGTCCGAACGGTATTATGTGTGTGAATGGTATTATGTGTGTGAACGGCTTTATAGAATTTAAACTTGGGGTTGCATTTCTAATGGAGAACATCCGTGCGGACTCGTGGTCTAAATAATAATAATTTCTTGTTGTTGAGCACTACATAATAAATTTTTGGTTCCAGAATGGACATTCGTCACCTCAAAGCGGTGTTCCCACAAAAGAAGAAATTTCGAAAGTGATGGAGGCAGTGAACGACGTTTTTGATGGGTTAAAAGAAATGTGTATCGGCGAGCTGGAAGCAACTGATGAAGCTGTTTCAATTGAAGTAGAAAAACTGGCAGATAGGGCCAAGGAAACGTTAGATCTTATAGAAGAGATGTCTTTACTCAGTAAGTGCCGTCTAAAATAAAGTTCCAAAAGACTGAAGTAAAACTAAAACTAACGATAACAGTAATTGTCTTTTCGGACTTTCTTTAGTTACTATTTTAATCAATCGTGAAAAGTTTGTTTTGTATTAAGGATCATTTTTACTGCTACTGATGGTAAAGCTCTAGCGTATTTTTACTATCTTAACACTAGAACACACCGGTCAGATCCGATTTTGGGTCCGATTATGCAACCACCAGCCGCCTTTTCAGCACAATTCTTAAAAGCAGATTAAGGAGAGCTTTCTGCTCTACCCTCTGGATTTTCACTGAAGGTTTGACTAGAGAAACAGTCCGTCCCAATAGTTAGTGGGAACAATACCTGCAACTGTTTTTGGTAATTTGATATGTCTAGGAAGATCGATGATCAAATAAGTACTAAAATATATTACAAAATAGGTATACATTCTATCAAGACGTCGGGTTAGGTTAAGGTAGGGTTTTATTAACACTTGAGGGGCGGAATTTGTAAATTTTTCTCAATTTTTTTTAAAAAATTGCCCAAAGTCAATGTTATTAATGAAATTAGTATTAGAAATTTAATTTTCGAATTGAAAATTTGTTTTTTTTTAAGTAAAAATCTCGAAAGTACATGAGTAATACTGTTCGTTTCAAGAAGTTAGAGATATGCCCCTTCCCTTTATTAGGATGCGCCGTAGCATAATTCCAAATTCAATCATATTTGTCTGCGGAGCTCATTTCTCCACCGATCATCGAGCGAGAACTAGACAAAAGTGTACAGTACCATTTGCAAAATTATTTAAACTGCCTCGTTAAAATTTAAGAATATGCTTTATTTAAAAGCATATTTAGCCAAAAATAATAACAAGTGAATTAACTTAACGTTCTACACACCTATAAAACTTTTGCTTTGTTTTCTATTGTTAATTTATGTACATTTCTGTTTTACGAAAATGCTGAACATTTTCGTCTAGTATTGTACAGTGCTAGTCAATCTCCTAAGACCGCCCATCGAGAGCTCTGCTCGTTCAAGCTTGTTCCAACTATTTCTGTCTTGCTCACGCCTAGTGTGTATTCTTTCTATCTTCGCGCAGATTTATTCAAGGTCACAATTCTAACAAATTGAAAAAGATTGTACTTTAATAGATGTACAATCATGCAAATTGATTGATCTTTTTTAAGATCGTTATTTAAAACAATTTGCATTGTTTGTGGCTATAGGTATTTCTATTTTTGAATCTAATTAAACATTTTTGGTAAATATGCATCAAATTTTCACCATGAATACATAAATAAAGTACCTATTATATTAATATGTGAGTGTACGTATCTGTTTTTTTTAGAAATTTGCTTTTCGCATAGATTTACGCTTAAATTTATGACAAATTTTAATCTGTTTTAACGAAATTTGTTTTTGTCATTTCTAATTTCAATTTCAAAAATTTCACCCGTCGACTTTCCGTTTTAAAGCTACTTAGTCCAATTAATATTTATTTAACTTTCGCGATTAACCGGAGCCACGAATTTCGATAAGGAAGTTAGCAGTAAACCATTAATATTTATGAGAATTATAATCTTATTCCACGTATTTTTTATATTTTTTTTTGAGGTTTGTGTAACTACCTAATGCCCGCTTGGTAACGCCGACGGTTAAAAGTCGGAGAGCGGTTCTTAATTAAATCATGTAAATTAGTAAGATTTCTCGCTCCTTTTAATAAGGCGCCAAGGAAGTTAATTAAACTGTTTGCAAAGGTGGACCACGGTTTGTTGTATTTAACTTTAAAATTGGCCACTTATCTTTGGAAAATACATCACGGATTTAATATTCATTTCAAAAACGTTGGTTGAAAATAGTTAGAATTATACTTCATTTACTTTCTGTAGCGATGTGCCCCTTTCAATGTCTTGGATGCGTGCTGGCAAAATCGTAGGTAGGGACAAAAAAGATCATTATACTCTTCGACTCTTGTTCATTAAACATACTTTTTCATACAGTACCTGCGAAAAGTTTTGTTCAATCATGAATAGTAGTGCGAGTCGAAAACAAGCGTTAAAGCCTTTAATATGTCTTCAAATATAAATAAACATCTCGTTGATATTTTCAGTAGTAAATGGTATCAATAACAGCACATTTGAGCAATGCAATTGTAGTGGATAAAATCGTCAATTTTTCCGCGCAGTATTGTACGGATTATACGCTTCTCACCGGTTAAGAGTTTGGCCGAGAGTTGTCTCCTTCCTTTTCTGGCCTGGTGTTGTTCTTTTCTACCATGCGCCGATCAAACTGAAGGTCACATCGCTACAAAAAGTAAACGAAGTATAATATCCATGAAGAAGAAACAAATTGTAGTTGCAGTTTTGTCTGAAGTTGTGCTATATCTCATTTTGAAAGCATGTTTTCTATAGCATGAAGATTGAAAAATTACTCTTGCAGAGGGCGGCGGGGTGGGTACAGGGTGTAACAAAAAAGTGCCGAACTTACGGGTTACGAAAGTTCATAATTTTCGATAAAATATACAGGTAAATTCAATTCCGGCTGTGATAAAGAAATGCGGTCTGCTACACTGCACTCAATCAGTTGGTGATTACCAGATTAATATAATCCAATTTAATAACTAATTGGTTTCTAATCATATTTCACATTAAATGATATCCAATCGTTCTTTGATGTGTAATTAAGAATTGATTGAATGTAAACAATGGAATGCTAACGTTCAAAAGTTGCTATAACTGCCCTATGATATGAACTTCCACATACATAAATGTATAGCAATGTGTGTGGGTCTCAATTGGTAAACTTTTGGCTTTATGATGAAGTGTTTTGTTGATATTATTACTGAAGATAGTCTTTGATCTTCTTGCGAATAAATCGTTGTGTTACATTCAATTAATTATCAGTTACAGATCAATAAGTTATCTGACTTCGAAATCGCCAATTTATGTTATTCACTATCCTCTGCTGTGTCGATTTATGATATTAAAGGCCTTTTTTTTACATTTTTGGTTAGAAATTTTTCGTACCTATTTTAGTAGCAGTAAATACCCGCTAGATGGCGATACTATGCATGCTTTTTATGCCAATTGTATTGTAATCTGAGTCTTTCTGCGTACGTACTTACCACCTGATAACTAAATATCAATTTAATTAATCATTTTGTAAAACAAAGGTGAAACATTTTTTTAAGACACATATAGTGCCG